GGCCGCCTGCATCCCTCTGCCGGGCCACCTTGAACTTCCCACTGAGAGGGCGGCCCAGGACCAGTCACCACAGCCGCTTCTGCGACTGGCAGTGCCCGCCTGCCGTGGCAGAGCCCCGAGGCTTCCTCCCTGCGACGGGCGGCCTTGCGGGCACACCCTCCCTCTATTCCTGCAAGGCAGCTCCGGCCACCCCTGCAAGGTTTCCTGGGATTCCATCCATCCCCAGCTTCATGACCCTGTCCCCAGGCTGCATCTCCCTGGGTATTCCATGGTCCCTAGGCCTCGGGGCTGCCCACTGGGGCCGAGGATCGGTGAGCACCCCGCCTCGAGCGAGGCCGACGGCGCGCCGTGCCCGTGACAGGCAATGATCGCTGCCTGACTCAGAGGCAGAGACGATGGGCTGCGCGCTGCTATTTCAGGAAAATTAATTACACCCCACGCCAAGAGAACTCACCCATTAAATGTCCCAAGCACACCCGCGCAGTGGCCTGCAGCCCTGGGGAGGGGCCGGGAGAGGAGAGCCCCCGCCCCGCCCCAGCTGTCTGCAGAGCTCCCGGCAGGCCAGCTGCCCTCTCCCCTTCCTCACACAGCACTGCCCCAAATCCCTGCCCCACGGCTCCTTGAAAGCCAAGTGTTGGAGACAGCCTAGGGCCAGGAGGGTCTGGGCGGGCTGTCAACTGGGGAATCTCGGAACCTTGTAGGCCAACCACGGGCCAGGCTGTGCTGGACATGTTTAGATGGCTAGGCTGGTCCACCAAAGCTCTTCTTCCTCCCCCTTGCTCTTCGGCCTTGTCTGAGGAGGCAGCAGGTGCCCAGGCCCGGGGCTCCAGCGGAAACCCAGGTACACGCTGGCGTGAGCCGGGCCCAGGGGGCACAGGAGAGGCTTCCGGGTGGTAAACCAGAGCAGCTCACCGCAGTGCCCCGCCCTCGCTGTGTCCTCAGACCCCTGGGCACCCACTGCTGCTGGACCCCGGCTGGCATCAGGAATGGTCTCAGAGCGGTTCTGCGGCTCAGCCCGGCTATGGAGCTCAGCCAGGGAACACGCATTCCCGGGGCTCGCCTCCCGTGGAGGCCGGCACCAGGGCTGTGGCTCCCAGGCTCTCTCGCTGTCGCTGCACACAGCGCCACTCTGCAAAACACACTGGGAATCAGTGACACTCACAGCCCCCCACGAGCTCCCAAACTGACTCAGAATGAAAGAGGAAACCTGAACAGCACCACAGAGACATTTGAAATTTGAATGTGAAATGTTCAACCCTCTTGCAAAGAGACTCCAGCCCCCAACGTAATGAATTCCACCAAACACTTAAGAAAGAGATAAAAACCAGTTTTGCACAAATATACACCCTCAATCAGCTTGTGGAAACGAACAGGTCAAAGCTAAAGTTGATCATGGAATTGCAAACCTCTTAGAAAAGCAAAACGTGTTAGGAAGATGGGGACAGACGGACAGGCAGGCATTTCTTAGTCAACACAAGAAAAGCACTAATCAAAGAGGTATAAAAATGATAAGCTAGAATTCATTAAAACTCACAAGTCCAATTTATTCAAGCCTTTAACTCTTTACTCTTCAAATGATGGACACATCACAAATAGAAAGATTTTTCTCTTTCTGCATATAAGATATATGTATATGTGTGTATATACACACATACCCACATATCAAAGAGGAATCCATTCAAAATGCATAAAGCTCTCCTATAATTCAAATAAAAGTTATGTGAAAACTCAAACAACCTATTAAAAATTGGCAAAGATTGGATTGGAGTTCAGTGGCGCAGCAGACTCAGCATGAGTCTGGGTTCAATCTCCAGCACTAAACACACACACACACACACACACACACACACACAAAAGAAAGGAAGGAAGGAAGAAGGAAAGAAAGAAAAAGCAAATAAATGTAAATGACCTTGAAACGCAGAGTGGATCCTAACTCACCACACGATTTTAGAAATCACTAGTCAGAGGAAAATGTGCCAGGCCTAGTGGTGGTACACGCCTGTGATGACAGGAGACTCTGAGTTCTGAGCTACGTATGGAATCAGTTCCAAGCCAACCTGGGCTTCATACTAAGACCCTGTCTTCAAGAGCAACAGCAAAAAAAGGGGGGTAATAATAGTATGATACCACCACAGACAGCCTGGCTAATGCATAAACACGGGCAAAGCCAAGTGCTGGCAGGAGGGTGGAGCCCGTGGCCCTGAGTGTGGCAGGCAGCGGTGTAGAGCAGGTGCAGCCACCTGGTCTGCCGGGGGGAGGCATCCTCCGAGACCGATGGCTGCTGAGCCACACAAGCCCGTATTGTGCCCGGCCTGCGTTACCCTGGCATGCCCGTATACATAACAACCTGAGCTAGAAACACCCCGAACGCTCGTCACCGGATGAGGGGTAAACAAACCAGGACGTGCCCACCCCATGGATGCAACTCCACCGTGACAGAAATGAGCTGGTGACAGCAGCCAGCACCCAACCATGCCAGGAGCTGGGAGCCGCACCCAGCGCACAGGCACACTGCGCGCTCCTGGGCACAGAGGTCCAGACTGGGCCGTGGGGCCCCTGTGGAAGAAACGCGGAAGGGATCGGGCCTTCTGGCCACCTGGGGCCCTGAGGAGCAGTAAGTCCTTTCAGTTTTGACAAAAATCACCTCCAAATAATGAAATCATGGCCATTAAAGAGCACTGAAGCCAGGCGCCGTGGCGTATGCCTCTAATCCTCAATACTCAGGACCCTGAGAACTGAGCATGGTGGTTTGAAGTCAAGTCCATGAGGCTCTCATCTCCAATGAACCACAAAAAGGCAGAAGTAGAGCTGTGGCTCAAGTGGAAGAGTGCTAGCCCTGAGTGAAAAAAGTTAAGGGACACCTCCTGGCCTCTGAGTTCAAGCCCTATGATAGGGGGAGAAGAGGAGAGGAAGAGGGAGAGGGAGGGGAGGAGAAATAGGGAGGGAGGACAAACAGCTCCCCAAGGAAGACGAAATGAACTAATAAACTCCATCTCTCCTGGGCCCTCCACAAATCTCCCCTGATTCAGTGTTCTGCTTTACTGTCTCCTCCTGGCTCCAACAGCAGCCTGGAGCGCAGGCTGACCTTGGAGCGCAGGCTGACCTTGGAGATGGTCCATGGGCCTTAAAGAAGCCCCAAGAGGGCTGCTGCGCCCAAGCCCCTTCCCCAGCCAAACTCAAAAACGCCAGTTTCAGCAGGCCGGGCCGCCGTCTCCAGGGGACACACACGCCCTGCTGCCTCATGGGAGGAAAAGCCGCAGGGACCTTTGGCTCTGAGCTTCCCCCCAGCCACCCAGTTCCTCTTTCAGCAGATTCGGTTCCTTCTCAGTGGTCCTCGGGGAGCCCCCTCGCCCCATGACCCTTGTGCTGCACCGGGGTGCACAGGAGGCAGCCCCCCCTCCTCCAGACACACCCAGAAAGTCCCTTCACCACACCCCTGGGCACGAAGGCACCAGCCTGTGCCCCGCCCCAAGGGGTGAGCCCTCCCCGGTCCTGCGGGAGCGGCTGGGCGCCGCCCACAGGCAGCTCGCCTTCCCGGGTGGGTGCTGCGCACGTCTGCGGACGCCGCTGTTTACTGTGCTCACTAGGTGTGCGGAGCTGCTCCCGAGTCCTCGTGGCTCCCGGCTGGGGTGGTGCTCGCCATCGTGAACATCGTCCACCCGAGTCTGCCGGGTCTGCCCGGAGTCTGCACAGCCAGGCACGTGGCGGCTGCACGCGGAGCCGCACACGTGCTGGTGGAGTCACGCGTGGCGGCCGGTGCTCCCGGGGAAGCGCGTGCACGTCAGCGCTATCCGGCACGGCACATCCCGAGTCCAAGGCAAGGCTTGGCTTGAGCTCTTCCCCTTGCCAAGACGCCCTGTCCCTGCGCAGTAAGCTGGTCACAAGAGCATGGCCAACTCAGACGCCGCCCCCACCCCACCCCCGCGCCGCCCACCCCACCCCCGCGCCGCCCACCCCACCCCCGCAGGGCTGCCAAGGGCACATAGTACACGTGGGCACCGCTGCGCCCCCAGCCTGGGTCCCTGAGCAAGGGAGGCACCGCCAGGGCTCTGGCGTGGGCTTGCTTAGCTATTGTGGGGGGTGCTGTCTAGTCTGGCCTTTTTGCTATGTGCCACTACCGGGGCTTGAACCTAGGACCTGGGTGCTGTATCTCTTTTGTACTCAAGGCTGACGCTCTACCACTTGAGCCACACCGGTTCTGGCTTTTTACTAGTTCATCGGGGGTAGGAATCTCATGGAGGTTTCTGCCCTTGGATCTCAGCCCCCCCACCCCGTAGCTACGATTACAGGTGTGAGTCCCTGGCACCTGCCTTTTTTTCAAGGTTGAATCATATCCCACACTACTTGCCGACCCCTCATCCACTGCTGAGCCTTTCTTGTGAGTGGCACGTGTGTGTGTCAACAGCTGAAGCCCTGCTTTCAGGCCTTTGGGACGACCCAGCAGAGGAAATGTAGGTTCTTGTTGGAGCTCTACGCAGTGATGGGTTTCTGCGGAGTCTGACCATGGTAGCACTCCCACCCACAGCCCACCTGCCAGCAGAGCACACCCACTTTCAGTTTTACTTTTATTTTTTGGTCATGGGGCCTGAACTCTGGGCCTGGGTGCTGTCCCTCAGCTCTTCAGCTTAAGGCTAGTGCTCTACCACCTGAGCCACAGTGCCACTTCCAGCTTTTTCTGCTTATGTGGTACTAAGGAATCGAACCCAGGGCCTCATGCATGCAAGGCAAGCGCTCTACCACTGAGCCACCTTCCCAGCCCAGCCCACCGACTTTTAACAGAAGGAAGCAAGCTCTCCTTCTCTAAGAAGCCATGTCTGGAAGGTAGTCATGACTCCTATGTAACTCCCAACCCCTTCGTTTATTAGCAGATTCAGAGAGAACATTCGGGAAGAGGGGAGGCAGGCCTGGCCCCTGCCCCTCCCCTGTACCTTAACGCCTGAACCGCCTCAAGACTCTTGGTGACATGGATCCAAGCTGAGTTCTCAGAGATGAACTGAAAGTCAAGGTTCCCCCAAATATTTTATTTAAATATTAAATTAAAAAAAACATACATCAACTAACCATTTGGCATACATTTCTCATGTTAACGTAAGAAACGAAAGAATTCAGGTGTAGTAAAAACAAACCAGTTGTGTACACATCAAGCAGGTCACATAGCGTCTTCAAGAAGCTGTGGCAGGACCGTCTGCAGGACACTCAGAGGGTCGAAGCCATCCCCAAACAAAACCACCGTGAGAGTAAAGTGCTCGCCACTGCTTCAGACAGGCAGGGTGCCGAGGCCTGGGGACAGGAACCGAGAGGGCGGGAGGGGACGGGACTGCGAGGGCCGCTGAGCTGCCTCTGTGGACACGGGACCAGGCAGGGCACACGCCCCCGGCCCCCAACACAGGGTTGGCAGGCGGGAGGCTTTGGTGTTTTCTGTGGCAGGTGCCAGTCCACTCCCGGGGGGAACCCTTAGTCCACATTTAGCCAGCCACAGAGCATGTGGCGGAGCTGGCGGGCTCAGCATGGAGCACAGAGGCCGCTGGGCGGCAGGGCGGAGACCACACAAGGCGCTTGCGCCCGGCCCGCCCTCAAGTAACTCAGTCAATCTTTGGCTTTTAGGAATACCCGCCTTCCCCCTTCCTGTAACACTGCAGGTCTAAGCTGAAGGCACCTGGCAGGGAGGGAGGGGGGCGCTGGCAGGGGGCGGGCGGCTGCGTCCGCCCACCGGGACGGACGGGGCCCAGGACCCCAGCGCCTCAGCCCCTCCTCAGTGCAGCCCGGTGCCAACGTGACTGCGCGAGGTTTAAATCGGAAACACAAAAGTGTAGTACAAAGTATAAAAAATAAGTCGTGTCCATGTGTTTCCTGATTGTACACATATACAGCATTTGCTTAAAAACAGGAACAGCGCTTTACAAACACCGCCCAGACTTCTCATCTCATTGGCCTTGCAGGAAAGCCACGCCACAGCAGCCCGGGCCGGGGGGCCAGGGGGGCTGGGGAGGGGCCCGGTCCGAGGGCAGCTGGGTCACAGCCGGTGAACAGCCAGTGAGCGTCTGCCCGCCCGCGCCCGGCCCAGCCACAGCCCGTGATATTGCACTATTTCCCCCAAGTCAGGAGTCCTTGTTGGACCCTGGCAACGAAATGCATAAGAACTTAGTTATTAGCAGCGAAAATGAGATACAGCAGAAACTCATTGGCGTCCTCGAGGTGTGTGCATCTGGGACAAGTCTGGGCCTTCTGTTCCTTCCCAGTCCCACGTGGTTCTCGGGAGAATTCTGGAAACAGACCCTCAACAGTGGAAGCAGCTCTGCTGAACCGGAGGAGTTCTGCGCCTTCTGGGGAGAATTCCAAGAATGCAGACGCACCTGGGCCGAGCGGCGGCGGAGTTCAGTCTCATCGAAGCACGCATGTTCCAGGAAGTGGAGAACTGGCAACTTGAAAACCAAAACGTACCGCAATGGGCACGCAGGGACACACGCCGCAGACAGCGCAGACAGCGCTGGCTCGAGGCTCACTCGTGCCTCTGCTCCTCTGCTCTGCTGTCTATGGGTGGAAGCCGTCCGTCTTCCCTTGCCCTGCTCCCCCACCCTCACGGCACACCCCCAACCATCATTTTTCTTCCAGAAGCTTCCACAGTTGAGGCCACTCAGTGCAAGAAAAAGCAAAACCAAAATAAACAGGCCCGAACACCTAACATATTGCTTGCTTCGCTTCGAGAAAGTTCTTGGCTTTGAGTCAGAAACCATCTTCACATATCTGAAATTATTGCTTGGAAGAGTGGCGACCGAGGGGCTCACTGCACCAGGACGGCCGTCCCCCGCGGGCTGGGGGCCAGGTCCTCCATCTCGCAGTCCCCCTGCGGCCGCCCGGCGAGGCACTGCTGCAGGGGCCTGGCGGGCAGGGGCGCCTGCTCTGCGCTGATGCGCAGGT